TAATTTACAGCAAGGTTTCAATAGGCTCTCGCAGCGCTTAGCTGCTCGGGCCTAATAATAATAATAATAAACAGTACAGTTTCAATAGGCTCTCGCAGCGCTTAGCTGCTCGGGCCTAATAACAACAAGAATCCATTAGCAGTTTTTCTCCCAAACTTCCAATCATGCAACCTTTGCCTGAAGGAACTTACTGGTGTTGAACCGTCTTATTGAAAATTATATTTACTATTATATTGGTCATTGGTCGGTTAGTTTGAAAAACACACATCAAAATTAAAATCTTACTATCTTACAATTTTTTGTTTTTCAAAATTCCATGTTTTTTAATGAAGCTAATTTTTTCCATGCCACAATGTAGCCAGATACTCTAATTATATGGTTGGCATACAGATGGTTCAAGTACTTACAAATAATATAAAAGACACATAACCTCTTTTATTACTGTCTGTCATTAAATGTAATCACATTCTTTCCATTTTCAGTTGCCAAAATTCTTTATTTTTCAATAAATCTCATTAAACTGAGACAGAGAATTTGTAGAGAAATTGTTTATTACTTTTTTATTAATTTAAAAGATTATTTAAACCGAGAACACAATGTTTTAATAAATTTGAGAGAGGGTACACACATAGTGATATTATGGCTTTGTAAGTTTCAGTCACACCATCTGAATTAAACTGAGTCACACCTGTGAATTTACTTTAAAGCAGCACATCAAATATATAGCTACCTTAAAAGACAAAATCAAGACATATCAGCAAAAGAATCAGGAAAAGATTGTTGTTTGACTTTGGGTAAAATTTCCAGGTGCCTGAAGTTACCATGTTCATCTGTTCAAATAATTATATGCCAGATTAAACAGCTTGGGAATGTCGCGTTCAGGAAGGAGATAGGTTTTGTGTCTAAGAGATTAATGTGTTTCGGTAAGAAATGTGCTCATTAACTCCAGAACAGAAGTAAAACCTTGTGAAGAAGTCATCCCTCCAAAACTAAGTATAAAAACAAAGATTTGGAAATGCACTGAGGGCCACAGCCTTTCTTCAGCTCTGTCAGGAAAATTTGTTCAAGATTTCAGCTATTTTGAGAGGCTTTGAGAAAGGACACCACAAATTTTGACTAAGCAATTTTACAAAAAATGTGGAAATATATGTTAACTAATGAATCTCAAGAAAGTTAAAAACTGTTTTCATCAAAATATTCTCTTAGTCATTCGCACTTAGCAAATGAAAATAATTATCTTCACGGCTTCCACAAAGAAAAGCAGACCACAATTTGATGTCAGACAGTGAAAGACGTGGTTACAGGAATTTCTAAATAATGTGTGTCATAATGTGGCTCCTAATGTATACCATTTACATAACAAAATATCACCTGTTTAAAAAACTATCATAAAATTTTCACAAAAACAGCAAAAAGAGTCTCATCTCTGACAGGCAGGAGGCTGCACCGGCCAACATAATCTCTCTGTCACTATTCTAACACTGAGGACCTCATGAAAAGGCTGGAAAAGCTTTTGGGTTAAGCATATGGAAAAACCCATATATTTAGGATTACATCCACTTTTTTTCAAAGGAAAAAAACTCCACACAATATTTGAGTTTTAGTGTTTTAGTCGATTCTATGAAATGTGGTTTTACATTGCAAAAGTTGTAAGGGAGCAGAATGTGGTAAAGCTGTTTGCTGTTGTTGTTCATGATGATTTAGTAAATTGTTTGGAGCAGAACTCTAATTCAATTAGTTGCACAGCCCTGTATGTCATTTGCAAATGACTAGAGCAAACATTTTGTGTAGTTGCACACCTACTCTTACCAATGCACCCTCTTTTTTTTTTCTCCAATTCACTTGCAATAACTGCAAAAATACATTGCAGTATTGCAGCAGCATACTTTATTTGTGTATTTATAGATGCTCATTTATAATGTAACTTAAATACACATGTTTAAAAGCAGATTTTTGATCCCATTCATTCAGTGTGTAAATAAAATATTATTCCACAATTTTTCCGGCATGATGGTTTTAAAAGTAGATCATATAATTTTTTAAACGTTGACACATTTTCCACACATGACTTTCTTTTTTTTTTTTCATCAGAACTATGTCAGATTACATTTAAATAATTTCACTCAACTGTAGCTCAAAGGACGTCCACAATCTGACTAAAAGCCTTATCATGTTTCCTGTAAAGAACATAGCATGGAAAGCTGATAGCTCTGTCATCAGGGACTGCGGAAAACCGAATTAGACTTCCCTTCCAACGGTCATGTTTCTCAGAAAACATGGCTATGTGTTGTAAAAAAGTCGGCCCAGAGGGCTAACTGTGGACATTTCTCAGACCACAGAGCTGTGTTAGGACCAGAGGTTATATGTTTCATCTGTTTGTCACAGCTGAGCTCAGTTAACTGAGATCAGTAAGCTCAAAAAGGAAAGAAAAAAAAGTGTTCTGCTCCAGTACGCTTGCTTTTTGGAGAAGATCTGATCAAAACACAATGGAGGTGTTTAAGAAAATGTGATCACTCTGACTTTGAAATGTTGTGCTGACCTGATCTTAAGATCCATGAAGGTTCATGTGACAACAAGGCTGCGTGAGTCATACAGGTCTAGATATGTTGAATTAAAGGATTACATCAGGAATGAGCTGCATGGCATAAAGCTGAATCAATGAATGACTGCTTTAATCCTCTTACACTGATATTGCTGCATACAGTACGTCGTGTGTCAAAAATACATTTAAGGTAATTTAATTTTTTTGTCCTTTTAACTTTTCTGATGAAACCTGTATGAATTCTTACATATTCATACAACATTGATATTTTGTTAGGGTTAGGCCTGCATGGTACTAGGAAATTCACAATGTGCTAACATTATATGTAGACTATGCAGTACAATATTTAAAAAGTTATCCTATTGTGATAACAATATTGCTTGAAAAAAAAAAGTTTCTTGTGTAGTAATAGACCACTCACTAAGAACAGCTGAATAAAACTGAAATATAAAAATAATAATTGTATTAGTTTATGGTTACACAGTCATAAAGGCTTGCAAAATATTTTAAAAAGTGAAATATTTTTAAATTGCATAATGCATCAGCTTGCATAACATCATTGCCCTGACTCTGTACACTGCTCTCTGCCAGGCTGCTGCTAAACTTCTTTAATTTGACCAAATTTGCAGTGTATTTGCTCTCATTTACTGTTCTGTTGTTCCTGTAACTTCAGAAACATTCACATAAACTGTTTTCCAACAACTCCGTTTGCAAATCCCCAATCACGTCAGTCCTGAGAAGATAAGTGCATTCATTAACAAAGTCAGAATGAGCTGCATGGAGTGGAACTCGGTGGAATGCCATGCCAAATCTTGCTGATATCTCCCCCTGACCTTTTTTCTTCTTTTTTTAAACCATGTTGGTGGATGAATGCAGAGTAAAGATCCTCTTGTTAGCTCAGCTCTTTCCATTTTTGTGAAATGGATTACAGTTTATCCTCTTCGTAGTATTTATGCACCCGAACCATAAATTATCACACCCAGGAGAGGCAAAGCAGGCTCCTGGTACAGTTCCTCCCTCACTCGCCAGCTGAGGTGGGTTCAACCAATGTCAGCTGACAAAACATCCACTCACATAGATGATGTGTATGTCCAAGATACTTTCTAGGCTATACCTGCAGGCACAGTGGAAGAAAATAAAGCCATAAGTGACAGAAGGGCTCAAAGTTTTTACATAAATTACAGCTCAATTCCTTCCCTTCTCTACCTTCTGCATATGGAAACTGAATGGATTTTGGAACACTCTCCCACAGGATGCAAGGCCTGTGGGGTTTTGATGGCTAAAGGTCCACTTAAACCAAAAATGGTTTGGGTTGTGCTTGTCACTGGCTTCAGCTTTAACCACGACTTTTCATAGAGTGTAGCGCTGAGTTTTCAAAAATAATAAGCTGATATTAAGGTTATAGTTGACAAGCCAAGAGCAGCAGTGCTGTCAGCCATCGTGGTGCATAGGGCTGGTGCTACAACCTACACTAGCACTGTTAGTGAACGAGATAAAGAGAAAGTTGTGATGACGTGGGAGGGTGGGAGCTCTATTTCCTTATTGACCAGGTATTTTCAGCTGAGTCAGGAGGAGTGTGATGGATATCTTGTATAAATTAGCTGTGCATTGTATGGCCCAGAACACCACAGTCGCAGTTTAATCAAACTCAACGTTGACCGCAGCGCAATGCCTAGGGTGGGGGCTGTAAATGCATTTTCCAAGACTTACCTCAACATTTTTGTTGTGCAATACATGGAAAAGAACTGAGTTTCAGAGCGCTGTGGCATTGGTCTTATTTTTGCTCTGAAAGCCACAAAAGATGTGGTCCTTGAGTTTGTAGTTAAGTTTTAAGTGCGGAAAAGACTACTTGAATCTTTTACATACGAGTGTGAGAAACAGTCTGACAAAGTCTGTACACCTCAGACAGCAACCTGCTCTTCAGGGGAATTATTGTGACTTGTTGCTGCAGTAAGTAGCAAAGGTTTATCCTCACAGTCTCTGGTGACAGCCATTTATTCTTGAACAGAATGTTGTTTATTGCTGCCATTTTAAGCAGCAATAAACATTTGAGGAATAAAGTTCCTCAAATTAGAAATGGGTCTTGCTAATATTTGTACATTGGAATATACTGGATCACTACTTAAGGCATTCCTTTTTGATGTTCTACAATAAATTTTGAATTAAATTATACTGCTGTACTCAAGATGCCTGCTGAAAGTAAGTGTTGGGCCCATTTCATTTACTTCTGGTTCAAAATAAATAAACCCTCACTCTTTTAGGCTGCAGGTAAAGTTGCAATAGCTGCACACAAAATTTCTAACATTACTGACAAAGGAACTCTAACAAAACCACCTGTAACATCACAACCAATACATGAGAACGGGTCAGACTAAGATGCACTGTTTATCTGAATTTATTTAGATAACCATGAGTCAACGGCTAAAAGTTGACTCTTGCTAAACAATATCACTTTTGGTAAAAAATGACCATTATTTAAGGAAGGTGACAAAATGTTGTACTGGCTCTCAATTGTGCGTAAAGAATGGTTGTCTTAAATGAGCTGTGCAGACATTTTTATACCCTTAATAGATATTTTATTTTCACAATAAGTTTGTCTTAAACCTGTGCAGTTGTTGTGACGATCCCAGACAAATCTTTTCTGATGGGCCTTTAGAGTCAGTGTTTGTGGAAACTCCCAAGGCAATAATGTGACTGGGACTGTAGGTCATCAGGCATTCAGATGCTGTTGTTCATGTCACAGCTAATGTGTCTGCTGAACTTGATGCATCAAAGAGATAAATCATTAGGCTCACCAGGCAAATTACACATGCAACCCCCAGAAAGATGTGGAGGTTGCAAACAAGAGAAAGGTCAGAGTAGTCAGGCTAGTGTTGTGAATGTTTAATATTGTGCCCTTTAAGGTGGTGCCAGACTTGTTTCAGATGTGATCGATCAGAACTCATTTGTGGGACTCTTTGTAAAGGTGGTTAGGCTGATCAGCAGATGGCAGCACTATGGCTCATTTTCTATTCAGCTTTGATTGGATTCCTTTTCCTAAAAGGACAACCATAAAGTAATCCATTGCCAAGGCCACTTTGCTTTTGTGGTGTTTTAAAGAAAGTGGCTTAGGATAGCATAAATTATTTAAATCTTCCTTTTATATCAATCAGTCAGTCAATCAGATTTAATTCACATAACAATGTTTATCCACTTAAATGTACTCCAAAGTCCCGAACTAAGTAAATAAAGTAGATATCGTTAATAACCACACATCTTATGAGATATAAAACTGGAAAAACACTCAAAATTAGATATTTACATCAAATCAAACTAAATTTTCCATTAACAGATGAAAATATATTTACATACAATATCATAATATATTACTATATTAAGGTTTTAATATACATTTTGAGTGTCCTTCCACAAATTTCTCAAAATAGTTTGCTGAAACTGTACCCCATTTCTCTCGGCAGAAGTGGTGTAACACGATCATATTATTAGGCCTCACACACCTTTTAAGCTCTGTGCACAAATTTTCTGTGGAAGTGTGATTTTGTGGTTGCACCACTTCAAATCATTGTCTTAGTTTTCCATAAGCTACTTTGTAAACACCTTGGTGTTGTTCTTAGGGTCATTGTCCATTTGGAATATCTACATTTGTACCCAAGCTTGAACAACCTGGCTGTCTTAAGATGTGTAATCTTCTTTTCTTATTATTCCAACTATTTTAGGAAATTCACAGTTTTTTTTTAATGCAGTGAAACACCCACACAACATGTTGCTACCATCCTTACACTACTTTATTGCTGTAATTATTTTGGTACCTAGCAAATGAAAATAAATAAGATGATTCTTATTCACTTGAAACGGAAAAAGTTTAGCCTGGTTTAATATCAGACATTAGAAACAAAGTGTTTGTTGGTTTCAATCACACATACAATATTATAAGCTTTCAAACATCTTAATATTAACCCAAAAGTTGTCTATGACACTTAAAAACTAATTACTTCAATATTGTATATCTTTATTACATTTTTTCTTTTGGTTGTCCCTTTTTTGACATAATGTGAATATTGGCGTAAACAAAACATAAGAAATCAAAGCTGTGAAGGTTGACGAGGGTAGTCCACAAAACGTCTGGAATGACGCAAACTGCTTCAGTTTTTCATGTGCTGTACACAAGATATCAGTTGAGACAGATGTCAGCTTGTCATATACTGTTTATTTTTTTAGCTAGCACCATTAGCATGAGCTAACGAAAAATCTAAATTGGAAGATAGTGAAAATGAAGCAACACCATTCTAATACATTTGAGAAAATGTTTTGATCTCTTACTTATCGTAAACGGCTTGAGATGGAAACTGTAGATCTTTGCAGCATTCTCTCTCCTTTTAGGTTGGCACTTCCAAGCAGCGGTAGAACCAACACCAGCTTTTTCAGCAGACTCTCTTCATCCGTTTGGTCCTCTTCATCCTCATTTACCCTTGTCATGTTTGCATTGCCTTATATTTCAAACTGAAAGCGTTGGACGTTACTCAATGTACAGAAATTACTGTTCTGCCTAGATGGCGCTCCTCACATGTGTAATCTCCCAGGTTGAATTGCAACGTAAAAGACATTGCAATGTCAGTGTGGCAATATTTTATTTAAATTTATAAAATCTAAACAGCCTATAGTATTTTAGTGTAGTTTAGTTTACGAATGAAAAAACCTGCATTGTAATCTTTGAGTTTGCCAAAGAGCGTTTGTAGCGATATTTTAATTTTTTTTATTCAAACCATTTTGTTGAAAAAATAAACTCATTTTTATAGAAGCTGCTTACGTGACTCATCACCAGTGGGTTTATGTTTGCAATGAGCTCAAAAACAGTAAGGAATGAACATGTATGGTAAATTATTTGCTTACTTATTCTCATATGCTCATATTCCCCTCATATGCTTACTTAATATTGTGTAGTCTTCCTGGAAACTTCTGGTTAATAAAACTATTAATGCTTTTAAAAGCCAGTAAAACCACCTTCGTTCCTTGGTCCTCATCTGCATTTTTTAAAACTGAAGTTCATTACTTTAATGTCGCTATTTTTTGTTGTACTTATACCAGAAATCAGTGAATTTTCTTCGGCGCTGTTCTGGTGCGACAGGAAGCTCAGCATATACGCTTCACTGTGCCTACAAACCACTAACGTAATAGCTGAAGATACTGTACTGCAAAGTTCCCCCTTACTCTCCTTTAGAGCTCCTTTAGAGCAAAGGGGCTGGCACTGGCATGGTTCAGCGAGGCGCTCTGCACGTGATGACTGCTGTGAGATGGGGCTTTTGAGGGATCATAAATTATGAACAGCTGTGCGCCCATTCTCATAATTTTTACACGACGATTATCATTTTGTGCTCTTTTCATGGCACCAGAAATGGGGCGGCAGTGGCTTTCCTTCTCTCTGCCTTTATGCCTACACGTTTCCTTTCAGACTAAAAATCCACATAATGTCTTTCGGGTTTTTTTCCTCATGCTTTGCTGCTCTAATTTCCAAACAAATGTGGCAGTGAGGCATATTGTCTTGTGTGGAGCATCTAGAAGTTGCCCATCATGCATACACATTGCATCTCTACCATATTAATATTGCATCAGACTCTGCAGCCATTTCTGTTTCGGTTGGCATAATGTGGAGCTGAACTTACATATTATAACACATAAACCTATTTTTCCTCATCAGTTCACCATTAACGCCCACTGCATCTTGAAATAGGAACATTTTTTTAAACAATTGGGGCAGACCAATAGAGCAATTCTAATTCACTGCTGCTTTAACCGAATGCATTTAGTGAGATGAAGGACTTCTTCCATGGCTACATCTGCAAGTCGTATCCGATTAAATCAAGCCACCATAGCTCATAAGCTATGTAAGAACTGAACCATACATTCCCGTCACATGTTTCAAATGCAGCATGAAATAATAAGTTTGCAGAGTCCCCCGAGGCATCATCAAACTTCAAACTGTGTTAATAAAAGTGGGGAATCTATTCTGGGCCTCCCTCACGTCCGACCCAACTTCATTTTGACCTTTTATTACAGCGATCAGTGAGTAATTTCCCGACTGCGCCCTGGTGCTGCTGCAACGTGTGTTCAGAAATCATTAATTAATTAATCCAGTGAAAGCTGCTTGATTAAAGACAACAGAGCATTTTAACATTCTTTCTCATTTTCCTGGTTGTCTTTGTGACTTTCTTCCTGCCTAAAAAAGGAAAAGAAGGCAAAATCTCTGGAGCTGAGCATGAACATCTCTACGAATTAGACAAGAATCTGCTTTTTACACATGATTTCAGGGATTGGAGTAGAGTTATAATTGTGGATTGTTTCCACGGTCTTAATCAAACAGGAATTGTGAAAGAAATAGTGAAATAATGGATGTAATTTTGTGAGACGTACCGAGACAGCAACTAAGGCGTCCTGTAGATGCTGCTGCTTTGGAGGCTTTGTTCTCTCTGAGTCGCACCAGATTAGATTGATTACTCCTGGCATGCACATTTTATTTGACTTCATTGTCCTCCCACTCTGTTGTTACTGCTTGTGTCAGAGATGTGGATATTCTGTGTGTGTGCACATGTACAGCTACGATTAGCTGTTCTCGGGAAGCGTGCATAACAAGTCGTAACAGTTTTATTGATTGGATATTTTCAGAGCAAATATTTTATGTTCATATGTGTGGGAAGCAGACGTACTACATGACATGTAGGCCATTTTAGCTCCAAGCTGTGGCTGAAAGAGGCTGTTTGCATGGATGTTTCCGATGATTTCATCCATGTGGTTGCGCCTGTGTGTGGATGAGTTTATTTGCATGTTTCTCTCATGTTTGTGCACATGCAGGGAAGTAACGTGATGGAGGACCAAGATTTAAGAGACATGGGGATCACTGACCCAGGGCACAGAAAGAAAATCCTCCATGCAGCACGCGGCTTGCCCAAGGTACTCAACACCACATCCAGAAAAATAAACTCCAGTACTTCAACATCATGTCAGTTAGCTAAAATGAAGTGAGATAAAGGTTTTTGTTGTGAATGGATGTAAATGTGATATTGCTCCCTTCAGGATTGGTTGGAAATTGTAATCTGTACATAACAGTAATCAGTTTTAGGCCAGCAACTAAGGCACAAATGAAGCTGAAATGCTCATGAATGGATTTGTTTTGCTTTATTAAAACATAATTCAAATGAGAATTGCAATATTAACATAAATATAGATTTATGTGCAGAATTCAGATTTACACTGCTCTCATTTCTTATTTGTTAATTATAATCTTAAACTCACAAAATAATACAATTTTCTGATGATCTACTTTAGGAGATTCTGTTTATTGGATGGAATGGTGGATGAGTTCACAAGTGGATGCAGTGATGATGGGGGAATGAATACTCTTTTTTTCCTACATAAAATTATGAACTATTTGTTATTGGTCAGATTTTTTTTTTTTTTTTCTGAACAAGACATAAAAAGTCAATTGATTTGCAAATTGCTGTGTGACTAGTTGAGAGGTCAGCAAAGACCCACGTTACCCCCCACTACAAAATAAAACTCACTTAGAGCTGCAACAACCCCAAAACAAAACAAAACAAAAAAAAAAAAGCAATTTTCTAGATATGTACTACTTGAAATGTTGAAAGCTAACTAAATTTGCTTTTAATATTAGAAAACCATTTATTTTTATTTTTAGATTCTGGAACAAAACAAGTGCTTTTACAGAAGAAACAAAAACCTATTTTGTAGAATGAGATTATATTTTCTATAAATATGGAAAATGAAGAAAGATAGGTAGGATAGTTTGAAGTTTGCTACTTTCTAAAAACCTGTTTTAGATATTAAATGCAGGTTTTGCGTAATGACTAATGGAAAAACTCCTTAAATGACAATTTCTTGTTGCATCCATAATCAAAGTGTTTCTCTTTTGGTTTTGTAAGAGCCACATTGAACTGGCCAAAGAGCCACATGTGTCTCTGGAACCCCAATTTGCAGACCCCTGGACTAGTTGAAATTGTCTATAACTTCAGACTCTATGTTAGGATAACATGGCAGAACTCTGCATTGGCCAAGTAGAACTCAAAAAGTAAAATTGGATTTAGCACTGCTTCCTCTTTTACTCCTAATTTGACGTTAACATCACAGTACTTGCTCTCATATGCCTGTTTTCTGTCTGTAGGTGAAACCACTGGGTTGTGATGGCAGCACATCTTTAGCCTCTTGGTTGGACGGCCTTGGCCTGCATGAGTATCTTCCCAACTTTCTCTCCAATGGCTACCGAACCCTGGAGTGTGTGAAGAACTTGTGGGAGCTGGAAATTGTCAATGTAAGAGTTGTTTAAGTATTTAACTTTAAATGTTTAACATGTTACAGTGAGCTGTCATGAAATTTCACTTCTGTGGCAATGGAAACTATTTCTCACTGAAACATAAATGTCGTGGATTCTGTTTGCGGTTAAGAGGCACTTGATACTCGAGTGCAGAAGAATCAAAAAAGTGTTTCAGTAATAGAAAAAATTTCCATAAAACTACAGCTCAGATGCTTTATAAATCATAGAGCAATTAGTAGATAAATAACAGATAATGTAAATTAAGTTGAAAAGAGGGTGAGGAATGACAGAAAAAGTCTAATTTGGTTTTGTCTTTAGGGAAATAGTGTGACATTTTATGGTAATCAGTGATTATAAAGGAGGACTAATTTATTATGGTCTTAAAACGGTTGATCCAACGGAGAGATACATGTGGCATTTTCAATCAAGTAGCTCTTAAAATTGTGCACATGTTGTAAGTACAGCTTTTTTTTTTTTTATGAATTCTCAAAAGCAGTATGAATTTGTTTGTAAATGTCACACATCATCTGTGACCTTTTATTAATTTGATCCTTGTTTATTGCTTGACTCAAGTCAAGTTTATTTGAATAGCACTTCTCAGCAACCAGGCAGTTTGAAGAGCTTTATATGACAAAAACATAACACAACTGACAAAAACTGAAAGATGATATTCCAGTTGCAGAATAAAAAGAAGTAATGAAAAGTTGTATTTCAGACCAGAATTAATCAGTGTTCTATTTATTATTAATCAAAGGCAAGTCTACGCAAATGGCTTTTAGCCTTGTTTCAGCAGTTTTGCAGTTTTTTTGGAAGTTTATTACAGATTAGCGCAACATAATAACCATTGCTTAAATTCCTGATTTAATTTTGTTTGGTCTTGGACATTCTAACAAATATATATGCTTTGATCAAAACCTCTCTGTTGTTTAACTCTGACTTCATGTTCAGTGCTGGATCTAAACCTCCAACTCAGTCTCAGGTCTTTCTACTGGGCTATCCTACTTGTTGAAATAAAATTAACTACCACAGCATAATCCTGCCTACACCATTTTGCATGATGGACCTGATGTGTTCAGGGTGTCAGTTACCTGCCAAACAAAATGTCTCTCGGCTGCTTCTCTGATTAATGCTCTCCTTGCACAGCCAGTCAGCTTAGGTTGATGACCAAGTTGTAAAGCACTCATTCTGTACTTGGATGATTTATTGATCAGTTCTCTAACTGTTCAAAACTTCATATTGTTTGATAAGGTGAAAAAGACAGTGTGCAAAAGATTAGGCGTTACAGATCCCAGTCTTATGGTTTATTTGAAATATTTTCATATTTTTGAATTTCATGGATGTTCACTATGCTTAATGGAATGGCTTTTTTCTGCTGGAAATATATTAGGCTTCAACCCCTTAGTAATCACCAGTGCGGTTTCTAACATTTAGATCACTAATTATGTGAAATGTTATTTATTTTGGCATATTGTATGTTAGCTAGTGCCATGTTTATTGAGGACAACCAGGCAAACAAAGAAGATGAACCATAGTGTCTGCTATGTGAGTGGATAATAGTGCAGAAGCTGAGAATGAATGTGCTTGAAGACATTATATTATGTTTGCAGCGTCTGGTGGCAGTAAACAAAAAGGCAGCGGTGGTAAAATTGCAGAAAGCGCTGCAGTAGCAGCAGCCAAGCTTGCTGCCAATGCAGTGTGAGAGGGACGGTGTCCAGCAGACTGCGATGAAGAAAGATGGGGGTCTAAGTGCACGGCACATTACTCTCAGTGTGCACAGCAGCAAGAACTGCCTGTGAGCATCATGGCAGAACTCTCTTTGCCCATTACATTTTCTACATCCTCTTCAGCATTTTAGAGCGAATAGCATCGGGCTTCTTGATGATCTACGATGCAGGTCGTGTTTCCAAAATCATTTCAAGGTTCTTTTCGCAAGCGTTGTGTTCACTGGTTTTGCTGGAGCTTTTGTGGATAATAAAAACATAAGCAGAAATCAAATGCACAGACCGTTTGCTTCTTCTGCTTCTGAGTAATGGAACCGATCAGACAAAGAATTACATGAGCTTGTTCTGGAAGGTTTTGTACCAGGAACATAATTGCAAATGTAACATTAATTGCTCAACATCCACCCTTTGAGGATGAGCATGAATGTTAATAGCCAATTATGCAAATATATAGTATTAAGGTGATGGGATTTTACTACATGAAATGAATATTTGCTTCATCCTGCAAAACATTTAGACATATGAGCAGATGTGGTCCTTGTAAATGGTTAAACAGAGATTGTACTAATGGACATGTTATTCTGTTGTACAATTTAAGGTATGGCATTCGGAAAATACAGCTGCACTGTCTCTATATTTCTGGATAATGTTCTGTAGGTATGTAAGGTCCTCTCTGTTTTCGTAGCTCATCATCCAGAAATGGCTTGTGAATTTTAGAGCGTCCCAAGAAGGATGCAGTGTTGTACTTTAGGCTCATGGCAAAACAGATTGAAGCTGAATTATTGACGAGAGTCACTTCTGTTTGCCAGCCAGTGAAGAGTACATAGCATCAAGACCGCCAGTTTAGATTTATCTCTCTTAGCTTTGTCTAGATAAATTGTTCTGTATGAGATATTCAGATGACTGTAAAATGGAAATTCATAGAGTGATGCTGTTCCCTCCAGGTTATTAAGGTCGGGCCCTTAGGCCACAGGAAGAGGATTATTGCATCTCTAGCAGAGAGACCCTATGAAGAAGCTCCCTCTAAATCCCGTCGGCTGTCCCCAATTATGGTAAGACTGATTATGAAGTTTACATACTTAACACTTAATCTACCCTCTTCATTATGTTGGTGCTGCCTTGTGGGAATTAGCTTCCTACAAAAAGATGTTTGGCAGGGAAAATTGTGAATACATCAATGTTTACTCAGTAAATATATATTTCTAATGAAGTTGTTGACATGGTAATTATATCAGATGTTGGTAGCAACCCAAATAAAAAGAAATCAACACAGATAAGTCCACAAATGATGTGTTGTAAATCCCCTGAATATCCAGCTGAAATATGTTTAATACTAGTAGAGACGCATTGTTTTGTAATAACACATTCTGATTGGATCAACTATTTGCACGGTACAATTTTGGCCTTTTCTTCCACTCAGTCTATCTTCAAAAATCATAAAGGTTCTGTGGGCATCGTCTCAGACATTGAGGGTTTTCCCTCAATAGAGGATGATTGCTTTCTAAATATTGTTAGATTTTAACTATTTGACTTTCTAGGCCTTTTTTGTGTTCAGCACTCATTCCTGGTGTCATCCCACCCCATTTAATACACATAATCAAATTAATTGTTTTATATGGATTACTTTGTTTGCTGCTGACATATGTTGTAAATTTCAAGTCAATAGTTCAATTAGAAATGTATGAAGTGTTTAGTAGAAGGTTTAGTTTCTTTAATTCATATAATTTTTGAAGGGCAGCCAAGATAATTAGCTAGTCTGAATGTAGCCAATTTAAGAGGACGTTTTATACCATCGCAACTGTAAAAATGTCAAGCAATTAGAGAAAGCTATGGAAGTGAAATATTTTTTTAGAATTTCTTTAATCTGGGACAAAACATAAAACACTGTTACCTTTAGCAAAAAAGATATTTTCTAAAGATCCTCAAGCTGAAGGTGAATTTCCAGGCTTATTCTCTGGTCTGGCATTTTAAAAATCATGAGTCATTAAAACTACAAATAGAAACAAAACTATTTAAATAAGCAAGAAAACAAAACATAAGAGAAAAGTGCATAAGCATAAAACTGGCACAAAACAATAACAGTAGAGAATAATAAAAAGAGAAGAAAATTGCTGCTCAGTATCGGCTGTGCGAGCAGCAGTGTTCACAGATTTGTCTCTGTTTAAGCCACTGTTTCACTTGGGAGCTCAAAGCTCTACAATCAGCCAACTTTGTTATTACTGGTGGCAAGCTAGTCTAAATATGGGATCCTTTGCATGAAAAACAAGAAGGTTAAAAAAAATGTTTTTCATCTTCTTTTAATAACTCTCCATGAGACTCTTGGTTATGTTGACTCTATTTTCTGTTGTTTCCCAGACAACTATAGACAGTAAAACTGAGTCATTGTTACCAAGTCCAAGACAAAAGGCAGGAGAGAAAAGGCAATAACTGTATGAGCCAGATTATAAAAAAAACAAGTGTTGATCAGAGCTAAAAAAAGCTTGTGGAAGACTGCACTGACGATGTTGGCTTGCATTAGCAGTTACATTGCACAGCACTGCAAGGGTTGTTGAAGAAAACAGACAACATGAAGAATATTGTTTTCACTTTGATACTTGCCTAAAGTTATGATTCTCCTTTGATTCAAAAGCCTCTCAAGGCCGATATTATCAGTATTGCTTGTGAATCTCTTTCTGCCATGTTTTTTTCCTTCCACTCAACATTCTGATAATCTCCTTGTCTGAGAACAACTACCTTTCTAGCATTGCTTTTTTATGGCTTACTCTTTTTGTGTGTTCAACGATGGCCTGCTGGACAAACATCTGTAATTCATTCTCAGCCATAATCATGTAGGCTATTAGATTTTTTTCTAAAATAAGAATCCAATTTTATTTTTAGCATTAAGACCAGTTTTCTAATATTCTGATATTTTGTTTTTCTTTTTAATATTCAAAATTAGCATAGCTAAATGCTTGACATTTACCACAATGTGTGCAACAAAGCTGTTTCTAACAGAGTTGCTGAAATATATTGATCTTTTGATGAAATTATTGAAAAGCATCATGATTTGCAGTTGTTTTTTGGATCAGGCAGGAGGAACTGAGACCTGACAGATTCACATTTATCTTCTGGCATTGTTTGGCTGAGAAAATAGCGACTATGTCGACAGCGATCTTCTGCATGAGTGACAGGGGTAAAACATTTAATATCCTAGCATTTTCTTAAACTGCTAGAAAGGTTTTTGAACTCGCTTCACATGGTGAAAATCTACTCTTCAGTGAGTATTTCCCAAGAAGCTATTAGATTAACTCCACCAGAATTCCTTCCTGATTCTCCAAAACATGACTAAACCAATGTTTTTCAACTGCCTGTAAGATATTTACACCCCATAACAGCTATACCAACCCTTGCTGAAAGACCAGTGACTTTTTGATCATTTAGACTGCAACACTTTCAGTGGATTCTTTAATAACGTGCAGAAATAGCCTTTCTGTAATTTAGTTGGTACAGTAGATATCCCTAATGTGCATAATTAGAAAGATAGTTCAATGCATGTGCTTTGTATAAACTGTAACAGTGTGTTTTCATTAGAAAACACACAGCATTTATGTTTATATATTTTGGATAAGTGGAGTACAAACCCCAATAGAGCAGAGCAATATGGACTTAAAGTTTTATTTTATGATACTATTCTGATGACATTAAAAGTGACGATAAGAACTGCTTCTTTTTTAGCTAGCTGTTTAACTTCAAATGAGTGTCACAGCCCCACAAACCCAATATAAAATTAACCAGAATCATGTGGTAAACTGTTTTTATTTTGAATTTATTACAGAAAAAGATGTTTGAAATGTGGATGTGATTCAGTACCATTGAAATACAAAGGCTGATTTATTAGGCAGATTAAACTGAGCTAAATTAAACCAAGAGAGTAATGTATTGTCAAAAGCTTGGACAGAGACCAGGAAAACCAGTGCTGTCAAAACATTAATCTGCTTGGTGTGCCTGTGTGTGTTTCTGTGACAGTTCCATGACCTCCTATCCCAGACCACTTCGCCCCTCAGTCAGTTGGACCCCTACACCAGTCGCTCCATGGACATGCTCCTCCCCCTGACTGAGTCGGACCGGAGGCGAAGAGCAGTCGATCAAGACTGCAGCATTTCGCTGCGATCCTACAATGAGAGGCCGCGCTCTGTAGTGAGTTTCAACTTCGTTCACTTGGATCTCAGTTAAAGAAGCCACCCACTGCAGCTTATTATAAGAGAATTAATAGTTTAAAAAATGGAGGAGGATTCAGCATATTTGCTTTCTTCCCAGAGGCAGAACTGCTATGTTCATCCGCAGTTTAATATAGCGGTATAATTAGTGGGCAGATTTTAATTCCATGGAGCCTTGCTCTAAATAATGCATCTCTGTCCATTTATGCGCAATTATCAAATGAATTTTCTATAAAACATCTTAACGTGGTAAGTTCAAAATAAATTAAATGGTAGCATTTCAAATCCTACTGCTGTGTCCTATGGTTATAAAAACTGCAACTCATTGCATTTATTAATATTTTTCATGTTCAGCAGACTAAATTCAGTCAATTGTCCCTCAAGGCTTAAATAATTGGATGAATTTATTCAAGCACAGATAAAAAAAGCTGACACAAAGGTTTGCAAGATGTTGGTCCAAACCTTTGCAAAATTTATTATAAAAATGTAAAAGAAAAAAAAAAGACATTCATTTTCAGTTTGTTCTCTTGCATTTTGCACAGAATCATACATGTGTATGAAAATAACATCAGTGGATGGTAAAATATGGCTGCATTAAATAATAACCCAGCCCTGCAGCTGTTTTTCATCTCATGAAGCTCAGCCTCCCTTGGTGTCTTGGATTATTTTGCGTGAGAATGAGCTAAAAATATCTCTGTGATCAAATTTTAGCATTTGCTAAAGGTCAAACTGCGACACAAACAGTCAAGCTTGCACGCCTGGTCTCTGACTCAGTGAGGCAACGAGAGAAAACGAATCCACAACATTCTGGAAATGAAGGACTATGTTGTACTGGCTGCTTTAAATGACATCTTAAATCAATACCTTTCTGATAGAACTTTGATATGTTATTATCCTAAGTATATTTTATTCTGACAAGTGATTTATGAAGGAGCTCAGCACATCCTGCACTGACCTGAAGGCTGAACATGCATGAATATTTATGAGCCTGCTCGGATATCAAGAAACGACTTACCAAAAAGTGCTGACCAGACAGACTTCAGATGCTTTTGCTTTAATATGCAGCAGTTAGAGGTCTTGTAACTCAGCAGTTCAACAGAGACACAAATTAGTATCCGGAGTCAAAACGTCTGCGAGTTTTCCTTGAATGTATTTTCCCAGAGTAGTGCAAAAATCCCAGCCTTACCTGTAGAAAGTGGGATGCAGGGCTGTGACTCTGCATCTCTGCATCTCTGCAGGACAGACACAGTGAACGACATAAAGAGTCTCGATTGAACCTCCGGCCGCCGAGCCACTCTGCCACGTACGCCACCGTGTCCGCCTGGCATCACCAGCCTGAGAAGCTCATCCTGGACTCCTGCAGGTACGAGGCAACAGTAAGTATCCTTTTCTGACTTCAGCACGCAGGTGAAAACATTTCATCTGTTTTAGTTTCATAAAAATATATATTTTTTTCTTCTCTTTATTTGCTTTTGATTGTCATGAGCAATGAGGATACTGAATTCTGAACTGTGTTTTGATTTATCTCTCCCTTCAGTATTTAGGATCATTGATAATCAGGGATTTACGAGGGATTGAGTCCACACAAGATGCCTGTGCTAAAATTAGGGTGAGTTGAAGAATTTTGCTTTTCTTCCCACTCCAACCTAAAAAGAACAACTACATGTTTTTGTTCTGGAGTTCACAAACATTTATCATGAGAATTTGAAGCTTATAATGAATAATTTAATATTTTTATTACAAACTTGTGTCAACATTGCTCAAAGATTTATGTGTGTCCCTTAGAAGGTTTTCATTTTGGAATAATTCTAGTTGAATATTCAGCATTCTTTGGCCAAACTGGCAGGATATTTTCAAATCAGTTGGTTTCCTGGGACAAAAAAATCTTTAAGCTTATTCCATAATTTCTTCCATCAGATAGAGGCCTTTGGAAAACCATTCCTGAAACATCATGTCAGCTTGCTTTGTCCCTTCAAAACACATTTTTGATATTGTCTTGTGTTTAAGTTTATACCATATAGTTGTAAGTTAGTGAAACTCACAACCTCCACTATGTTTCACAGCTGGCACAGTGTTCTTATGTTTGAAAACTTCACCCTGATCCAAACCTTGCTCTTGTCGTTTCCATTCAATTGTGGTGCAAATTGTGAGCAATTTTATTTGAAAAAGATGCAAAAAAGGAAATGCAATTTAGACATGCTTTCATCTTCTGGTTTGAAGAGAATCAACCAGGGCAAGCAAAGTGTAATTTCATTGGTTGTTGACGTAACTCATGACTATTAAAAAAAAAACAATATGTAGAAATTTGTCTGAATTTCATGCCTCTAGTGAGCCCTGGAGGTTTAAATTTTAGACCAGATGCTTGTTTCTTAATCGGCACCCTCTTAGGTCTATAGCAGCATAAAACTGGTCTTCCAACAATTTCTTGAATACAAATTTGACCTCATAAAAGACAGGGTCTTTTGAACAAAAATGTAAAAGGTGTTCCAAAAAAAGGCCAAACTTAAAAGTTAGGACAAAAAACCTTGTCCTAACCTTTACTACTTTTGCTACTTTGATAAAACATTAACGCCAAAGTTTAGAAAGACTTATCTGCAATGGGATTAGGTCAAGTGGAAGACCAATGAGTGTTTTGTATTTTAACATGAACCAATGAATTTGTGGCTGGTGTGTAATGATTGCCAGTTCAGAGAAGACTTTGGAGTGCAGCGGTGAATTTTGGACGGATCATTTGTTACAAATTGGATGGCAGAGCTGGAGAGGACACCAGGCATTTTGGAGTGAGCTCTTACATACCCTTCTGTAAATTACATCATCATATCAAACAAGGAAATGATGGTCATTTAAAAAAAAATATTAGTTTAGTAGAGGATGTGAAGGAGAAGAGCTGACTTTTAATTTAACCTTAGACTCATTTGTCAATGCAGTTTGAAAAGGACAGAGTGTTGTCTGGCCAGATTCCCAAATATTTATACTGAGTAACCTGAGCAGAGGTGTCCTTTGAAGGGCCGAGGTACTCGGGGTTTTCAAAGGCACAAAGTCCTTCTTATCAAACCACATGACTTGGTGGCATGGTGATACAGTTGGTAGCATTGTTGCCTCGTTGCTAGAAGGTCCTTGAGGTCAGTGCTTTGCGATGCATTGACCTCAAGACTGTTAAAAATATGCAGACTATAAGTTTAAAAGTTTGTGTCAGGAAACCAACCAATTTAAATCAATTTCACCCATTCTAACACCAACAGGGGTTAAATAATAACCCAGAATGATGTTACAAAAACTGGGTGTTTAAAGTGCAACTTACTGACAGATTTCACAAATATTAGTGGTGGTGTTTACATATGTTTGAGTTCCATAACCTGCAACGTCTTGGAAAGCTCCAGATTAACATGGCATTCATCCCCATAATGAGTGTATGTGTACTTCTGACCAAAACCATGAATCATTAAATCCGAGGACATGAAGAATAATCATCAGTTTCTTTTTTTGAAACATGACAATTATGTGAATCTTGTTCATTTCAGAAATCAAAGGATTCCAAAAAGGGCCCAGTTGTCATACTGTCCATCACCTACAGAGGTGTCAAGTTCATTGATGCTGCCACTAAGGTAAAGTGATATTAGCATCTGTGCTACTTAAACATTTCAACACAGAAATTGCTGTCAAATTGATGGAGATTGATTCTTTTCACATTTCACCTCATGTCTGTCTCCAACAGACGATAGTTGCAGAGCATGAAATCAGAAACATCTCGTGTGCCGCCCAGGACCCGGATGACCTCTGTACCTTTGCTTACATCACCAAGGACTCTAAGAGTGGCCACCACTTCTGTCACGTCTTCAGTACTGTGGAAGTTGTAAGTATTCAAACCAGTTTTAAACTGTGGGAAGTACAAACAAACATGTGCACCTGTTTGTCATTTTATCAGGAGTTATAATAATCACTGCTTCTTTGCGTGTCATCAGCTACCTGCAGTTAAATTTGAATGCAAACATCCTGTTGGCATTTTTTTATCTCTGTCATCTCATCAAATAGCTTGATTTGGTTTCTACTGTTAGATTGAATCACTTTTCACATGAAGTTTTGCTCATTGTCTCAGTAACGGTGAAAAGGTCAACAACAATCACTGCATTTTCTTTTTGTATGAAGTGGGCTAATTATCAGTCATCAGTGTCAGCAGTCTGTGAGTTCTCTGTTTTTTTTTAAGCAGGAAGAAATTCTCCTGAATCTGTTTCCTTTTAGTTGTTCAAAACATTTTAATATGTAACGATACATTGTGCTATATGTAACCGTTCAGGGCTAACGATTCGTCTATGAATATTGCATGTGCTCATCATTTTGTAATAATTACGATTTGTAAAACAGAATCATGTTTGGTCATAGATATATTGAAAAGAAGGCACATACTGCCTTTATGCATAACAAAGCTTTAGTTGTACACAAAGTTTTATGCATCTAAGTATTATTTCCACTTGAAGTTCTATATATTTTGGAATGCCACAAACATCAACATATTTTCCTGGTATTTTAATCACAGGTCAGCATAAAGTAGGAAGTGGGAGGGGAAAAAAATCTAAATTATTTTACAAATAAAAATCAAAAACATTATGATGTGCTTTTGTATTCAGATTCCATTTCTCTGATAGCCTTAAATAAAGTTCAATTCAACTGATTGCCAACAGACTTTGGGGAATTTACAGGGAGGACATGCATGTGGTTTCACCTCATGCAGTTGATGGGAAGATGGATGGAGTGAGATACACCAAACTCCTTTCAGCTGTAATTGTTGTAAAGCATGGTTCTGCAAAGCTTTGAGTTATGGAGGCTGCATAAAAATGCATAGAGCTTTTTTGAGAGCATACATGTCAGTTCAAGTTTTAATTTTTTTTTTGTTTTTTTTCTGATTTAGATCCAAACATATGAGATCATCTTAACACTGGGACAGGCATTTGAGGTGGCTTATCAGATGGCAGTTCAGTCCAGGGCGAGACACTATGTGCCTCCAACATCTCTGGGCTCAGAGTTCATAGAAACCAAAACCAGCCGCCCAGTGTCTCAGTCGTGGAACAGCACGAGAAGATCAGCGGTGAGTATCAAGAAACGAGGAAAAAATGTTTTTTTTATTAGGCTTTTCTTGTTATCTGAAGTTGTTCAATGTTTATAAGGTGAAGGAACTGGTAGAAATATGCAGCTGTGGAGTCATAATTCAGAAAATATACACAGACCTCATGACCGAGTTCTCTCCCTCCGCTCCACTCAATTCCCAATACGCCACCTACAAAGGAAGATTTGCTGTGTGTGGGGGAAAAAAGTGATGAGTCATTACTTTTCCACCAGCTTCCACTCACATACCCCACAGCACTGAGAGTCCATCGCGATCAGTGGAGATTTTCAATTGGTGCATATGCGGAAAAAAAAAAAAAAGTGATGAATGAAAGCTTTATTTGTTGCTCACAGGCAGATGAATGATACGCTGTGGGTCAATTCTAAAAGCTCAGCCCCCCCGGTGGGAGGACACGCCCGCATGTTCTCACCTATGATTGAGTGGGCTGCGTAAGGCTCACGCAGGTCCCCCACGGGGACGCATTGACATATTGACCTTTCTGGCAGCATATAATAGGCGTTCAGCAATCACTGTCACCCGAGAGTGTGTGTATGCTGCAGGACCAACTGCTTATGCAGAAACACAAATCATTTTGTTTTACCACCTGCCTCTTGCCATAAAATATGGAGTATGCACACATCTGCATAATGAGCCTGGCTCAGTGTTTAGGTTTTAGATGAGTTGGGGACTGATTTTTGTCATCTGTGATTAGTTTTAATGCTTCATGCTGCTGCAAAATGTTGTTGGTTTAAACAGATTTTATATATCATCCCCAAAGTGTTGTTAACCGTCTCCTAAGCCCCATCCCACAATGTTACAGGTGTTGCAACATTAATGGCTTCGAGTGTCAGGAAACCAGCAGAGTTTAGCAGCTTAACAAGGATCTGTGCATCTCTGTTAGGGCTGCAACTAATGATTATTTTATAAATGGGTTAATCGATTAATCAGATAAAAATATTCATTTAAGCCTTCTTTACTATAAGAAATATACTAAAAGATGCAATTAAAACCGAAAATTCCTTTTGTAAATAAATGCAATAACATAGCATTCCTGTAGTGTATGCTTGATGAGTTGTAGATTAATTTATTAATTCTTGCATTAACTGATTATTAATTGGATAGCAAAACGTTCTTAATTGGAATTTTCTTTTTACAGAAACAAATTTTTTAAATTTCGCTTGAATCAAGTGAAATTAAAACTATACATCTTGAGGAGTTCTTGTCAGACAAGGGATTTTTTAACTTAAATGAAGATGTATATATTTATGGTACAGCTTTGACTAATTGCTGCTCTGAGCTCTGATGTCCGTATACTCCAGTTAACAATTAATCAATTACTAAATTAGTTGAAGATTATTTCAGTAACTGATTATGATTCATACGATTAATTGCTTCAGCCCTAATCTCTGTAACCTAGAGAATCAATGAAAAGATAATTTATTTCAGGAATAAATAAACATATAAAAATAAAAATAAACTTGCATGGATCAATAAAAAATATGTGATAAATGTCAAATATTTAGTTCTGTTCATTTTGATCATTTTGGCTTGTAGTTAATGAAAATTTAAAATTCAAGTTCTCAGAAAATTAGAATATTACCTTTAAAAACTAGGCCAACCTAAAAAAGGGGGTTAATATAGAATGCCCACCTATTCCAGCTGTAGTGTCTAGTGAACAGAATAAATTCTTGGTCACAGCTCATTTTACTACTTACGGTGTTGAGGAAGCTCAGGTTGGGTTAATAGTGACCTTCAGCCGTTTTGCATTGTTGAGCCTGTTGTCTCTCATCTTCTCCCTCATCCAGCATCCAGTCTGTGCAGATGATTTTTTTTTACCCATGGATTTTCCAATCATGTTGGTGTTTTGGTAGTGTGGGCAGGCGCCAAGAACTGCTGGAAAGTAAAATCAGTATCTCATTAAGCTTGTTAGAAAAGGGAGGCATGAACTGCTCTTAAGTTTCCTGGTAGGTGGCTGTGCTGACTTTGAAACTGACAAAACACAGCAGATCAACACCAAATGAAATGGCTCACCAAATCATCACTTTAATCATCACCAAAATATTAAACTGCACCCAGAGCTTCTTAGATTTTTTTGTCGTTGGACCGTAGGAACTTGATTTCAGAATGAAATACAACATGTAGTTTCATCTAAAAAATAAGACTGAGAAACAATTTAGTCAATTTCTCAATTTCTTAGTTTCTTAGCTTAGGTAAGACTCTTCTTGTCTCCAGTTTAATAGTGGCTTACTGCAAGGAATATTGTAGCCAATGCCCTGGACATATCTGTGATCAAGAAGCATTGACTCAGTGTTATGCTTCAAATCCTTTTGAGGCTGTGGTTTTCCTTGTTAGTTGTGCACCTTTGTCTGCAATGCTTTTTCCTTCCTCCAAACTCTCCATTAATATGACTGGAAGCTGCACTCTGAACAGCCAACTTATTCAGAAATTGCTTTTCGTGGCTCCTCCTTATGCATCATGCAGATGTTGATGAGCAGGTTCTCCCCATGATTGTGTGGGCTGCCATGATGAGCTAACATAAACTTTCTGTCTGGGAAACTGATTTTGAGTTTTCATAAGCTGGAACCCAAAATCAACAGAAATAAACACTATTTATTTAATGAATTAATATTCAAATTGTATGACCTTTAAACTGAACTACTGACATAAATTAAGTTTTTGAGGATAATCAAAAATGCATCCAAAGTTACTTAAATACCCCCCACCCTCAGTGCTGTGAAAATGTCTTCTTTAATTGCCATGAACTGTTTTAAAATGTAAAAGATGTCCTAAGTATATTCTTGACAGCTACATGCGTGGCTTTATAAAAAAAAAAGACTAAGCCTAAAGCAAACAGTCAGCCCCCGCAGAAGCAGCTGATCCACGTGGCGAACCCACATCTAATTCCAGCATTTCAAAAATGATATGGAAGAATCTGACACCCCACTCTTGCTCTTTGTTTTAAAGTAATTAGGAAAGGCTTTTATGGTAATGGGTAATTAGTGAGTGTCTGCCAGATTCAATGCTTGTTCAAGTTACTCTGACAGATGCGTAAATGCAGAAAAGATGCAAAAGACAAAAAAGAAAAAAAAAATCGGTGGCTAAAATTCACAGAGATGCGAAAATAAAAATGCAAAGATGGGGATGGACAAATGCCAAAGAATAAATAAAATGGGCTTAGCAACAATTTTGCCAAACAGCATAATGCTGTAGATGTCAAACAACCACAAATCATATCTGTACAGTAAATGTGGGGTTATTTATTTATTTTTTTTGGCTTATGGTCGTCACACACCTCCGTGGGATGCGTAAAGGATTTTTCACACGGCTCGGCTCACTGTTTCATAATCCGTCCGTGTGTGTCAGGCATGCAAAAAGAGCTGCTGCTTATGACGAAACAAATGAACCTGATGTTTAATTAATCACACTCTGCTCCACCCTCACGACTGCAACGCGTGCACGCCACGTCAGCATGTGTAGAAATCCAAAGCTCCGCCGTCCTCGGCTGCTGCTGCCGCTGCTAAATGGGATTGGGACGGTTGTTATTCAGAGCCAAAATTCCCCCACATGAAAACAGATTTTTCTCCTGATAATTCCTGTGCTGCTGCTGGATTTCTCCACTGTCCATTTAATGCTCTGTCCCTCCTCTCCTGCCTTCTTTTTTTATAACATGTCTTTGTTCTTGTCTTCTCGATCCTCCTGCTTCCCAGGGCGCCCCTCTGCTCGAATGCCGCTGCTGTCACTGTCACACGTGTACTACCCACCGTCCTTCCTTCCTCCCGTTGCACTCTGTTAGCCCTGGAATCCAGGTGCTTCTCTTTCCTTTCCTTTTTTCAGCCCTCAGTCACCATACATCTGCTTACACACCTGAACCTCCCTTATATCTATTTTTGTTATTATCTTTATTATTATTATTATTATTTTGGGGATGCTGCAATGCACTTTGACTCTTTGTTTTGTGGTTCTTAATATTTTGAATCTCATAAAACCTTCTCATCCCTTTACTTTCCCCATCTCTCATCTCCATCTCACATGTAACAGTTTGAAAATGAAATTAGCGGAGGCTTTGTGGGAAAAGGTGAAACGGTCACGTGATTCTAGTGGCTATTGAGGGTTAAATCCATCGCAACAATATCGCCTTTGGTTGTCTCAGATGGATGGTTGCAAAATGCTTACCTTAAGTTATACTTTTAGCTATTTTGAAGTAATTCTGTCAGAATAAAGTATGAAGGAATGTGCATCTTGAATGAGCTGCTTCTTAACTACTAATCAGATGCTCTTTAGCTTCCAGAGAGTCATATGTCTGGGTTTGCTGCTGCTGCGTACAGAAGCTGAGAGTATTTTCTGTCAGATATCATCCATTCTTTGTGGATTGAGCCCTCAGTGTCTGTGATTATAACCTGATCACTGGACTAACTGTACCTCTAATCCACATGCACGTGTGTGAGCTGAGGACTTGTCAGTGTGGCGCAAATGGCCTCCACTGCCACACGTCTCACACCTCCTCTCGTCCCTCCTCCCTCCCCACACCCCTCCGGCAGATCGACCCCCTGGAGATGGATGCCGACATGCAGTCGCTGGGCAGCACCACCTGGCTCTGCGACCAGCGGGACTCCAACAGGCGTCCCGTCAGCACCAAGTACGAGACCACCATATTCTGAGGCC